TGCTGTGGTCGAATAGTGGAATCTTTATACGTTTCATCCCCTGACAAAAATAAATTTGATACCCGTCTTTGCTATAAATCTAAACGGGCTCGATTATACGACACGCGCAGTGTTCATTTGTTCGCGTATAGCATACACTGTACGGAGAAACGCTTTCATTTTCTTAAAATTTGATGTCCCCATTATTGCTAGGTCTTGAATGGCGTTGATAATGTCAATGTTAATGTCACTGTTACTATTTATAGAATATTTTGTCATCGCTCTAGCAAGTTCATTTTAGCCTCGATTTCGAAAAAAAATCATATATTTGTCAAGTACGAGAAAGGGCAAGGTCAGTTTTGCTATTAATAGTTTTTTTATCATCGCTATAGCGACTTTATTCCTGAAAGGGTCTTGATTAAACTTTATATATTGGTCGTATATATGAAAACCTCGAATTCGAATGAGTTTAATTTTCTGCGTACCAAAGACAAGAAAACTGTTACTATTTATAGATTTTTGTCGTCACTCTGGCGAGTTCTTTCCAGTCTTATCACTTCCAACACAATTTCGACATTAGAACACAAAAGCAGTATTCATCTATACGTCTATTTGCATTAAGTTCGATTAACCCGCCAAATATTACAGGGCTGACTTATGGTTCTTATATGACAAATAACTATCTGCTTTTTAATGGAAATAATATATAGACACAGCTATGATAGTCATCAGAGGGTGCAGTTGCTAGTTTGAGACGTAAGAATATATAGTAACAGTTTCTTTAACCACACGAGAGAGGAAATATTTCGTTTGCGATGCATTGCTTCTGTACAAGTAGTGATACATTGTGATTCCATACTACGGGTTGGATAAACATTTTATATAACAATTTGATATAACATTTCTCACGTGGTTAACAATCGTATTTGGAAACTGTTGGAATTATAAATATGTTATATTAGGAACATGTAACTATCTTTTTAATGACTCTTTACATAAATAAATATTTCTCGAAATGAAATGAAAAACAAATCTTCTCCGAAAAAAGAATCTCTACCATTTCACCGAATTGGTTAAAAATATCCTTATTCGTTTAAGAATAACCTGACCAAATCCAGAGTATTGCAAGTGCTCAATTCCAACATGATGTTCCCCTTCAGTGTGCGTCACACAGCTCCGGCGGTATTGGTATAGTCTAGGTCACCTTCCCATATATGGTAGGATCCCAGAATAATATCTACGTATTTATTTAGATTAACTACATCAAGATACGCTATGCATCCGAATTCATTTGAACAATCTACCTTCACCGCTCGCTACCTGTCGGTCTCTACCTTCACCGCTCGCTACATGTCGGTCTCTACCTTCACCGCGCGCTACCTGTCGGTCTCTACCTTCACCGCTCGCTACCTTTCGGCCTCTACCTTCACCGCTCTCTACCTGTCGGTCTCTATCTTCACCGCTCTCTCCCTGTCGGTCTCTACCTTCACCGCTCGCTCCCTGTCGGTCTCTACCTTCACCGCTCGCTCCCTGTCGGTCTCTACCTTCACCGCTCTCTCCCTGTCGGTCTCTACCTTCACCGCTCTCTCCCTGTCGGTCTCTACCTTCACCGCTCGCTCCCTGTCGGTCTCTACCTTCACCGCTCGCTCCCTGTCGGTCTCTACCTTCACCGCTCTCTACCTGTTGGTCTCTACCTTCACCGCTCTCTACCTGTCGGTCTCTATCTTCACCGCTCTCTCCCTGTCGGTCTCTACCTTCACCGCTCGCTCCCTGTCGGTCTCTACCTTCACCGCTCGCTACCTGTCGGTCTCTATCTTCACCGCTCTCTCCCTGTCGGTCTCTACCTTCACCGCGCGCTCCCTGTCGGTCTCTACCTGCACCGCTCTCTACCTGTCGGTCTCTACCTTCACCGCTCTCTGCCTGTCGCTCTCTACCTTCACCGCTCTCTACCTGTCGGTCTCTATCTTCACCGCTCTCTCCCTGTCGGTCTCTACCTTCACCGCTCTCTCCCTGTCGGTCTCTACCTTCACCGCTCGCTCCCTGTCGGTCTCTACCTTCACCGCTCGCTCCCTGTCGGTCTCTATCTTCACCGATCGCTACCTGTCGGTCTCTACCTTCACCGGTAGCTACCTGTCGGTCTCTATCTTCACCGCTCTCTCCCTGTCGGTCTCTACCTTCACCGATCGCTACCTTTCGGTCTCTATCTTCACCGCTCGCTACCTGTCGGTCTCTAACACTATTTGCAGCAGTAGCCAGCATAGCGGCGCTGATATTTAAAGATGGCTAAGCTTAACAAATAAAGCCGCTCGAATGTGGTCGAATGTTCTTTGTTGGCGATGACTGATTGAACTTATATTACATATATAATTAACTACATTATTTCGCAACCAGCGATAGCCACATTAATTTCCTGTTGTAAAGAAACCGGTCGTCATTATAGGTATGGAGACTATATCTTCAAATATCTCAGATTCACGACATCGGAGACAATTCTAAAAATAGGTTGTGCGCAGATTGACACACGTGTGTAGTTGTCACATTGGTTTAGAAAGGCCTCTGGGAACATGGCTCCGCGTGTGAGGGGGTTGAGGAGTAACAAGCTGAGGAGGTGTGGCGTGGGAACCCAGGGGTGCGGGGGCATGAGGGTATGGAGGCGTTTTGGTGTAACGCTTTATGGCTGTATATCACAACTTTGAACTAGTGACATTTACAATCTGGCGATGACATTTTCAACCGCCTCTGTTAAAGACGTATTTGTGTACCTCTTATCAACGGCTTGTACGTGTAAGTAGTACAGTAGAACAAATTTTTTGAGGCGGGGTGTTGAGTTTCGTTATAAGTATCGCTATCAACACAAATTACCGACTATCAGTATTCGAATAATATAACAGCATAGTGTTTCACCATCGTAAGTCATTAAATGTCAGTCTAAATCTTGAAAGTCGTTCCCATAATTTCAAAGTGAGTTTTAATATTCTAGTCTGAAAACTGACCCCGCAGAACATAAACACGTGCTGTGTATAACCATCTGCTACTAATGCTAATTGGATAAGCGATACAATGATGATTAGCCAGTGAAATCCGATAATGGGTGTGCTTTGATCACGTGTCTAATTAGATGACGTTATCAATTATCCCTCGTTAATTGCTGTAACTACACGCAGCAGCTACTAATAACGAGAGCACGTCGTCACCTATGCTGACGATACATATTTGGTACCCTTATTTATCAGCATACCGCTGATACAATTACCTGGTCTTTAATAGAAACTTACTATTATCTAAAAAAGAAGTCCTGTTTATTGCCATTTTCTATTTAAAGCAATATCAATAAGGCACACCTTTTTTTTTAATTTCGTAAAGATGTTCATTTGACATTTTTGAACTACATGTAGCTTTTTTTCTCTTAAGCGCGTTTTTATCCCCCAAGTCCTAATTTGTTAGAACTGCTGTGGGAACCACCAGGGATAATTTGAACCTCCCTTTTCGAATAATTTTGTTAACGTTTTAAATATTTATAGGTGCAGATATTGTATCAATTTCAAGATTTTTAACAGATAATTGATTGAAATTTTGCGTTCAGTTTGTCATTTAGCTTTGCAGACGATATAAAATAATCCGCCTTGTTAAGGGTATATGCTACTAAATCTAATAATTACAAAAAAGTTTTACGATGATGAAAGCTTTAACATATCTTACACTGGTAAACATTTTGACCTTGTGTTCATTTAGATAGGTTATACAATGTCAGTTTAATTGATGCAAATCTGATGATTCGTTATAGATTAATACTAATGATCAAGGGATATAACTCTAGTTAAACCCACTAGTATAAAGTAGCATGAAACATTTGGCGTGTGTGCCTTACTGCTTTTATTAACGACCCGCCTACATCTCCCCCATTTATTACTTACACGTCTTATTACTCCGCACGTGGCCTTGCGCTACGAACTATGCACGCACCGGTCGACACCCCCAGTTCCACGCATCATTACGTCTTTACTCATTTATTTTCTACGTTGTGATTACAAAGCACTCTTCAGGGTAAAGCTAATTAACTTTATAAACGTTCATAAAAATAAAACTATATAAGATCATTTGATTTTTTAACGACTTCAAGTATTAAAAGGGGTATTAAGTATGCTATAATAATAGAGATCACAGAATGTTCTGGGCAAACAAATGATCAAATTGTGATATTAATGATTGTAAAAAAAATATTCTTACGTCAAATATTTGAAGTACACACAAGCTCTAATAAAGAAAATGTGCCACTCTACTGTAATGCGTTTTCACAAATGTATAGAATTGCAAGTAACCATAGGTAAATTTCTGCGCATCACGAAACCTAATGAAGAAAACAACGCATGCCGGAGTTAACATCCGAAAAAAATGGTGAAAAAAATATAACACACAATTGTAAGTTAGTATTGCAGTCTATCAACGGAACGGTTAGTCACGAAATCTAATAAAGAAAACAACGTATGCCGGCCAGAGTTAACATTCGAAAAAAATGATGAAAAATTATAAGGCGGAATCGTAAGTATTACAGCCTATATCCACGGAACGGTAGGTCGTCTATGATAATGAGAGTGATATCATCGCAACAGAGAATTGTTGATGGCAATGCCTCTTTTTTTATAATTCCAATCAATTATGGACATAAAAATTAGTTTATCAAAACACAGGAATGAAAACCAGAGAACGTTCAATATTCTACAGCGAAATGATGAAAAAAGTATCATATGCATTTCTGTCACACGATACAGATAATAATTCCGACTGCCGAAAAAAAATCTCCAGTACGTTGTAAATTGTCTCGTTCACGAAACAGATTCCGGTAGTCGGTATCACACCACATGGCGACAACGAAGCATGCAAACAGAGGCAGCAATAGACAAGTCGGAATTAGAAATCCAGCACAGAGAATAGGGTGGAGAACGTCGAAATTCCAAAATATGTTACGGAATATATGGTGTGAGAAAGTCCACGACATGGTGAGCATAGGTTTGTAAACTTACCTTAGAGAAAGACAAAGACAGTTTCTAACGATGTATGTTCCACACGGTCTCTAGACGTCAACTGACAATGTAGCGAGGCGCGCGAGCTCATATAGTGTCGGAATTCCGCCAGACGGTGGGCCTATAGGATAACTTACAACTACTGGAGCACCTTTACATGGTAACACGGGACGTTTTCCCACGGAGACCCTGTGACGTCACACCCCAACTTATGGTAACATGCAAGGATAACCCTTGTTTGATTGGATATGAAGATAATCTGTGCTCTTTGACAAAGGGGGACCAGGCCCATGGGAGGACACTCGGGTTAGCAGACCACGCCCAATAGTATCTGTGGGAGTACGGTTCTTCATGAGTGATGGACTGACAAACAGGCCTGAAGGACTTCGTCTATTAATAAAAACAGCATGTCTTTACCCTTGCTATTCCCGTTGTTTGTTAGTCTGTCGTGAAGGCCCAAAATAAGACAAACATCTAGCGTACAAACAACTACATATTTTGCACTCGAACCTGTTAAACGAAATAATTATATGTTCATTTTGTTTTATTCGTAAGTAAAAATGATCAATCGATTTACCATGTTCTTGCCTGTTGCTTAAAATATTCTATATATTTCTTCTATTAAAAGTTACAGTTATGTACTTATTTTCACGTAAATTCGATTTATCATCGGTAATGAATTCAATTTGTATCTATATGCTCAAATATAGTCTTTACTCTACACATCCTTCATAAAAATGACGTAAGATCTACACAAGTGAAAAGTGAATAAAAGTCCTTATAAATAAGATTAGAAAGATGAGGCCGCGAAAAGTAAATGTATAAAATATTAACTACTACACAGTATGTAGAAATGGTACATTTCATATGCATGAAGGTGGTCTTTTCTACGTTACATCATGTATGTTATGCCAAATATTTTCAGGATCCCCGTACAACTGTTCATGTTCCACTGGTATGAACTGTAACTACATGTACGAGTTAGAAACATTTTATTTCGGCATAATAGTAATAATAACTTGTGGGAAATTTATGAAAAATAGATAAATAATACGGAATAAGCGGAATGTAATCAGCAACGGTGCTCTAGAGGAGTGTAAAACACACTCGATGCGGATATAGACCGGGGTTCAACCATGGACTTCAGACTGTTATTCTATCTCCCAAACCGACTGAGGTTATCAAGAATATATAAAGTAAAAGTTAAACAACCCACAATTGAATTTAAATCGAAAGTATGTTTAGTAACATTGTTACATATCCATATAAAAACAGATATGAGCTTCATTTACCTGAGGATGAGAGTGAACCTAATACTTCTCATTTATAATAGTGTTAGGTTGGTCGGATGCCGCAGTGAATAACGCACTCGCCTTTCACAAAAACGGCCGGGGTTCAATTCCCCAATCGGACTTGAAAGATATGGGGTCGCCCGTCCGACCACATAGTGTTTTTCGTGGTACTCCGGTTTCCTTCCACATTGAGACTCCCCGCGTGCAAACATCCGGGCCAACAGATGCGTGGTTAATAAAAGTTGATATAACTTGTTTCGCTATTGTTGTAAACTAAATAAAGTTTCAACGTTTTTTTATGTAGAAAATAACCCGCGGGCAATCTATCGGGTCGGGCAATCTGCATACTGTATTTCCTAAACATAATATGTTCAGGTGCGTGCGCAATGTATCGGAGTGGGCGATAGCAAGAAATCAAGGTAATCGATAATACAATGTAGATATATCGATTTATCGTGATGTGACACATTCTTACATGACAAAATTATCCATACGCATTTCAGAAAAATCTCCCTTTGCACATAATGTAATTCATCGCATCACTGCGAATATTACTTAATAATTGTAAAACCACACAAAAAGGAATTTAAGAAATTAATGAGGAACGTAGGTAACTGTGGAACTCGAGATTGTGGGTAGTTGTTATTCGGAGAAAGAAGCGTCTCGTGTTATACATCATATCATAAGAAAAGTATGTAATATTACCTGTCATACTGTAATATGATATCGTGATTATAAATGCTATATCGTATCGTATTGTAGTATCACATCGTATGGTAATGTCATATCATATATGAACATTGTATTGTAACTGGACATTGTAATATCAAATGGTAGAGATACATCATTATATCAAATCGTTAGATCGTATCGTAATATAGTATACTAATATCATATTGTAATATTGTATCTTAATATAGTATCCTAATATCATATTGTAATACTGTATCGTAATATAGTATCCTAATATCATATTGTAATACTGTATCGTAATATAGTATACTAATATCATATTGTAATACTGTATCGAAATATAATATCCTTATATTATATTGTAATACTGTATCATTATATAATATCCTTATATCATATTGTAATACTGTATCGTAATATAGTATACTAATATCATATTGTAATACTGTATCGAAATATAATATCCTAATATCATATTGTAATACTGTATCGAAATATAATATCCTTATATCATATTGTAATTCTGTATCGAAATATAATATCCTAATAGCATATTGTAATTCTGTAGCGTAATATAGTATACTAATATCATATTGTAATACTGTATCGAAATATAATATCCTATTATCATATTGTAATACTGTATCGTAATATAATATACTAATATCATATTGTAATACTGTATCATTATATAGTATCCTAATATCATATTGTAATACTGTATCGTAATATAATATCCTTATATCATGTTGTAATACTGTATCGAAATATAATATCCTTATATCATATTGTTATACTGTATCATAATATTATATCCTTATATTATATTGTAATACTGTATCATTATATAGTATCCTAATATCATATTGTAATACTGTATCGTAATATAATATCCTAATATCATATTGTAATACTGTATCGTAATATAGTATCCTAATATCATATTGTAATACTGTATCGTAATATAATATCCT